AGCAGTATTATCCAAACCACTATCACATATGGTAAGACACAGACACCTGTTAGACTTATTTACCTTTGACCAGGCAGATATTTCACCTACATTGTCTCACTAACCTCACCATCCACCTGCCAACCCTCATCCAATGCCATCCACCTTACTCCTCCTCATCTTCCATCCATAATCCCATGATACTTGCTTCTACTCTTTATTTGGGCCTTTCCTACCATTCCTGGAGTCCTTCCAACCCATGTGGTTTCTACTACACGCAACCCCATTGTGGTGTTCTCCTTCTCCCTCTCTCCTGTCCTTCCCTGTTCTTTTCTTACACCCAAAAGCCTGCGAACCTCAGCCACATCTACCACATTTTGCCCTGCCCAGGTAGAGGCTGTTTAATCAACTAATCAGATATAATGACTTAGGAAGGTTTACACAACAAAGATAGGTTTATATGAGAATGTACTCTCTTCTGAGCAGGGGCAAGATGTTGGGGGCCAGTAATTAACATTATAATACATAGCACCAGGCCAAAACCCAAAATACTCCATGTTTTTGTGTGGAATTTTCTATTTCTTTTTCTGTTTTAGACTAGGACTACAAGGCTATCTGCCTACCTCGGCCTCCTGAGGGCTAGAGCTGTAACCATATACCACCACCTTTATTCTTAGATCAGAGGAAGTATCTTTCATTTTTTTTTTGTTTTATTTTTGCTTTTCCATTTGAGACTTGATCTAGCCAGCACTCCCCCTGCTTCTGTCTCCTAAGTACTACAATTACAGGCATGCACCTGTGCCCCGCTCAATAAAAATGCCATTCTTCTGATGCTGTAGAAGAGTGGAAGAATGCCCATACATTGAGGACAGTATTTATCAGCTTGCACATTTTATAGCAATGCTTGTCTGTATGCAGCTATATCCATTTTTAGCAGAGTATTTTTTATTTTAATTTTTATTTATTCATTTTACATCCAGTCGTAGCTCCTCCCTTCTCTCCTGGCCCCAACTTACCTCCCTCTCTCCTCTTTCCCCCTTTCATACTCCTCAGAAAAGGGGAGTCCCACCTACCCACTCCAGCATATCAAGTAGTAGTGCATTTTCCCTTGTTGCCTGATGAGGTAGCCCCACCAGGGGAAAGTGGTCAAAAAGCAGGCATCAGAGTCCATGTCAGAGTAAGCCCCCATTTCCATTAGGGACCACCTGCCATTTGTGTAGGGAGCCCAGGTTCAGTCCATGTATGGTCCTTGGTTGGTGTTTCAGTCTCCACAGGCACCCAAACCTGGTTAGTTGGCTCTGTTGGTCTTCTTGTGGAGTTCCTGTCCCCTCTAGGTCCTTCTACCCTTCCTCCCACTCTTCCTTAACGTACTCTGTGCTCCATCCAATGTTTGGTTGTGGGTTTCTGCACCTGTTTCCATCAGGTGCTCGGTGGAGTCACTCAGAGGACAGCTATGCTATGCTCCTGTCTGCAAACATAGCAGAGTATCGTAATCAGGGGTTTACTGTCTCCCATGGGGTAAGTCTCAGGTTGGGGCAGTCATTGGTTGGACATTCCCTCAGTCTCTGCTTTATTTTTGTCCCTACCCATCTTTTAGGCAGGGTAAATTTTAGATGGAAGTTGTATCTAGTTAGAAGGTGGCCTTTTCACTCTCCATGGCTTCTATTACTAAAAGTCTCAGCTAGAGTTGAGCAAAACTCTTCACCAACCCTACATCTCACAAAGGGCTAACATACAAAATACATAAAGAACTCAAGAACCTAACCATGAAATAAAATAATCCTGTTGAAAAATGGGGTATAGAGCTAAACAGAGAATTCTCCACAGAGGAATATCAAATAGCCAAGAAGCACTTAAAGAAATGTTCAACATACTTAGTCATCAGGGAGATGAAAATCAAAACAACAGAGATTCCATCTTACACCCATCAGAATGACTAAGATCAAAAACTCAAGTGACAACACATATTGGTGAGGAGGTAGAGCAAGGGGAACAGTTGTCCATTGCTGGTGGGAGTGCAAATTTATGAAACTACACCCTAGATGGGATTGTTTTTACTTCAGCTAAGTACAAAGACACATAATATCCAAAGAGATGTTATATTCTAAAAGTTTGGATATGTGTTAGAAAGTTTATGAGTGCAAGTTTCTTCCTTGTTATATTTTCTGGCCAAAAGAAACATACAACCAATTGTTTGTCATTTTGTTATATATATATATATATATATATATATATATATATATATATATATATGAATTTATGTGTTAAAAGCACAGTTATGTAGAATGACCATAGGAAAAAGCAAACAACCAAAAGGACAGGCTATAGATAACTGTAAAAACAAAACTGGCTAATATACTTTTCCTGAACTGGAATTATGAGCTGAGCATGAGAGCCCTATTATATCAAAAGCACTGAGTGAGATACTATTATATTCTTAACAGAATAAGAACAAAGATTTGTTCTTTCAAATGATATCCAATATACAAGTCTAATAGATATTCATCATGTGGACTATTGGCTGAACTTCATCTAAACTGATGCTGATTTTATGTGGCTAGAAAGATTACTTATAAAATCTTAATATTTATCTCAATTTCCAAAATGACACCCTTCCTATTACAATGGACAATATAGGCAGATCAGGAACTACAAATACAAGATCTATGTTCTATTTTGTTCATCTTGTTTATTTAATTTGAAGAGAGAGTCATCGTGTAAGTAATATATGATAACTATTTCCTTGGGTGCTCATTTAAAAAATAACATTTTGCATGAAATGATTCAATTTCAAAACTGAAAAACAGTGCCTTTCTCCTTAGCTTCCTATTTCAGCACTTACAACATTATTGTAGGAGTGTCTTAATTTTTCTTTCTTAGTGCACTATAATTTCTTGAAGGCAATGATAGTGTATTGTGTATTCATTCTAATTTATTAGTGCATTGTCTGAAGTAGAGGAAAAGTAGTATAATTTCTATTAACTGAATAAACGATGAATGTTACTGAATGAGACCCATCTAAAGAATTCAGAGACAAAAATCAATTGCTTAGGGTCTGAGCCAGTAGGCACTGAGTCAGACTTGGAAGAGGAGCTTGAGACTTTTCTCCACAAGAGCGCTAATGGCAATTCAGGGCTGCTAGAGGAGAGGATGTCACTGTGGTCAGTGATGGGGCTACTGCTGAGTCACTGATGCTCAGTAGATAGCTTCCCACCCTTGTCTCCAGAAGTGGCCAATGTAAGCCCACTCACTGGCTCACATAACTTACAACAAGTCATGTAAGGAACATGGAGACTTAATGATGTGAAGAGAAATGTTAGTTGGTTGGGAGGAAGATGAAAGGTGTATGAAACTGTCCAAAGACAAACTAATAATAAAAACAAAATTCAACTGCTTACGAGTCAGTGTGATGGACAGCCAAATGGAGAAGGGAAAGTTTGGTAAAGATCATTTCTAATCTACATATATAGGTGGTATTTTGACATCTTTACTGATGGCTATCAATTCCTCACTTCATAGTCAACATCCAGAGAGTTTGGGCCTAGCTTAGCCTATCAGCTAAACCAGATATTTTATATTTAAAAAAAAAAGGGATCTTTCCAGCATAGTCTGCTTCCAACATATTTAAAGTATTTTTATCCGTTCAGGTTTTTTTTTTTTTTTTGATGTCTTTCTGTCTTTCTAGAATAAAAATTTTCATTTCCCAAAAGTCCTGATACCGATTTAATGATGTGACTCATGTGACAAACATCTATTTTTTTTTCTTTATTGCTATTAGTGAATGACAAGTGAAGGAGATTTATTTTAACTTGAAAATGTCAGGTATGCACTTTCAGAGATATATTTTTCCAGCTTTTAATGAGGTGGTGCTTCTTTCTGAAAGATGCTCCTCTCTGACGCAGATGCCGCATAGGTGACAACTGATATTTAATAAGCGATGGCTCTTGTATTAGTTGCAGTTCACTAAAGAAAATGTCTCAGATTGCTTTTGAAAAACTCGTAGCGTCCGTAGCCCAAAGGCAAGATGTGACCTTTTTATTACATAATGAGAATCATTTATTATCTTACAATGTATCTTAAAGTCACAGGCAAAATGCCAGTTTGATAATTGCTTTCAATTAGCTTTGAGCATAGCATATATTCATAAAATGTCTTTTCTAATTTAGAGTTGAATTAGAGAAAATTGCAGACATAATCTACTTTAAGGTTGTCTCATTTAAAGTGATTCGTGGTTTTGTACCACAGAAATCAACACGAGTGGCTTTAGAACAGTGCCTCTGAGTGGCTGAAGCAAACTTTTCAGTATCTGATTCTTTTGTATTACCAATTAATTAACAAATTAGAAGATCATTTTCTGACCTTTCATGCATGTTAACTTTTGATTTTCGTTCTTAATGATTGTTTGGAAATGAAGCCTTGCAGCTCGTGTTTAAAGAGAAAAACAATGTGATTAAAAAGACAAATGAGATTTGCCTAATGCTACGTATCTCCTACACTGGGCCACGGTGGGAACTGTAATGGTGCACCTTCTCCTGTTTCAGCACCATGTAACTAATGGTCAAGACATGGCACTGTGTAATCATGCAGTCTCAAATAAAGAGTCCCAGGAGACTGTGGTAGCACAAGTGAGTTAGACATAAGATCATAGTGAAACTGTGACTTCACCTAATTTCTATCTCTGGTTAGCATTTGAGTATCATCTAGATATACATCCTTGTCTCCCATAAAATATTTTTAAAATCGTGAAACTCTGAAATTTAATTTTTGTCTTCTGTTAATTCTGTTGCTCATGCAATACAGAGGCAGAGATTAGCAGAACTTGGTATTTTGACTTGATATCACTAGTTCTCTTTCTCTTCCCTAGATAAAAATTACACACAAGAACCAAGCCCCGATGCTGATGGGTCCTCCCCCGAAAACTGGATTATTCTGCTCGCTCATCAAAAGAACAAGGAACCGAAGCAAGGAGTGAACCTCTATCACGAGAAATTTAAGCAGAATACTTGGGCCATGGAACACTCTGAAACATTTCCGGTCTCCTGCTCCTACAAAATCATGGGATTAACAGTTTTTGTTATTGAGCTGATGTAAAATTTGGCCATTAGAGAGTCTGTTGTTTCTGTTCTTCTAGGCATATTTGCATGAAAAAAGTAGAAGTTTCTATGACACGCTGACGCATATTTTAGTTGCATGCATTCCCATGGGGTTTTCTGTCTCCCACTCGCATCTTACCCCATTTCCATTTACTGACTATGAGGAAAAACCTGGGAAAGATCAAAGAAGTAGGACGGGAAATGATTCTTGATGTAATTGCTGTCTTCGGCACTAATAAGTAAGCTTGCAACAATTCCTAGTGCAAACTGCCATTCTTTGCTCATTAGAGTCAGTGTATCCGTGGTACTGGACCTGTGGCATGAGAAAAAGCGTAATTCAAAGATGTTATTAAATAGCTGTGTTCTATTAGATACCGTGTTCTATCTAATAGTCTGGGTTTTTTTTTTCAACATCTTTATTCTTCTGAATGGACATTAGCATACCAGACATAATATTTTTCTTGTGTTAAAAAAAAATAGAAAATGGTATTTATTTTGTTTAGCTTTGTTTTTTTTTTTTTAATTCCAAAGCCATGAGTGAAAATATGTTACTGGCAGTAATTATGATAATACAACAAGCCTTATTCCTTTCTGCGTAAGAGTCTGGACGCAAATGCAAAACTCACAATAGTAGTGAAATAGATGGTTTCAACGATGTGCCTAGTGCATCTGTTTCCCACCAGAGACTGAGAAAAGTAGAGTTATTATGAGTTTGTGAAAAGTAAAATGTCAGAAGAAAGTGAGTTACCCACTTTTTGTGATTAAAAGGCTCACCATTCAAAACAAGTAAATCATACAGCACACTCAAAGCTCAGTGACCCATTTCATGGCATTTGGTCCCTCTACTATATATGACTGTGATTTTTTAAATGGATCTGTTAAGTGCACTTCAAGAAGGTAATAACTGCATTGGTTTCTTCCAGGGCAGATCGGAACCTGCAATAATACCGAGTTCACTGAAGCAAATCATGCATGCAATAAGCCCCTAACGACTCATTCATTCCAGCCCCGTCTCTATGCCATTTCAAATGTTCGGTAACATATAATGGCCTGGCTCACAGTTTGAGGTGTTCATGGCATGGTTTGGTCTCTGAATGTTTACAGAAATGTGGAACTCAGAGAAACACAGTGTTTCTCTGAGGCTATCATATGAAATGAAATTCTTCTGGGCAGTCTCAGTGTAGTCCAGTCACCCTGACCTGCATCTCCTCACTGCATGTTTTATGTTTTCGAACACCACGCCATCAGGAAAACAAGTACTTGAAATGCATGATTTATCAGCTTTCCTCTCTGCTCGGCATTAAAGTGCTAATGATTTATCAGTTCTATTTTTCTATTGATTATTTCATCTTTGAATAACAAATAGCAGTTAGTGATTCTGTTGAACACAACCCTGTGCATGGATTTATTGATTTCAAGTGAAATTGCTGTAATTTTAGCTCTTTGGTTTGAAAACTCAAGAGTATGCTGTTGTATCAAATAGCTGCTCTCAAGCAATGTTCTGTAATGAAAGATTATGTATAAAGTGTATTCCTTTAGTATTCCAGGAACATTGGATGCTAAATACCAATCAACATTAACTTTAATTGCTTTAAAAATAAAGGCTTTTGAATAGATTTAAGATAAAATTTAGCTTACCCAGGAAAATTATGATTAAAATTGCAAATTCAGTACAGCAATCAGTTGTTCCTAGTATACTGATAATAAAATAGTCATTCATTAGAGCAGCGATCTAGACCAAGAGAATGTTCAAAGCAACCACAAATGCATCACTGACATAATGTTACATAATACTCTGCTTTTGCGCATCTAGGACTACAGGTGATAAATGTTTCTGCACAAGTTCATCTGGTTTCTACCATGGGCAGGCAGACCTTGTGCCAAAATGTCATTTTGAATCAACAAATTATCTCATGCTCTGGAGGACACTAAGGCAGTTGCGGTTTCTGAGTCGTCTGCAGCATCTGTGTGCTGGGAAGCGATTACCGAAAACTCAAGAAGTGGCCTGTATGATTTCAGCAGCTGAAGCAGTGGGCCCTGCTGCACTTCAGCAGAGCTACATGATCACAACCAGGGCCGACAGGCACCACATTTCAATCCATTAGATTCACAGAAAACACTAATAAGTCTTCAAAAAGGAATCAAATTTTACTTTTCTAAACGCATTTTTTTTTTTAAAGATAATTGATGTGCTTGCCCTTCGAGTACACTACTCCTGGGGTTTGGAAAGTAGTTTTTTTTTAATCTACTTTGATGGTTTTGAAATCAGAGAAGATATTCTCTTCTTTTTTTAATGACAGCTTCATGTGAAGAATATATATTTTAAGGAAAATTCTAAATGGAAAGTTCTATGGCATATTAAAATACTGAATAATGAATGTTAGCTTTACAAAATGGAAACTTTTCTTCCAGGAGCGTGGGTATTGTAGATGTTGAGTCAACCTCTTTTAACTAGAGTAGACAAGGGTGAGAGGATCTTGGGGGTAGAGTTTTGTACCCTGCTAACCACTGCCAAACACTAAACAGAGATGACAAATTCCTGAACAAACATAGACATGCACACTTTCAGAAATTAGGAAAGGTGATACCTGTGTGGATCCAGAATTTCAGAGCTCATATATGTGTGTTCTCACTTCACAATGAGTGTGCATCATATGCATTTGATGGGGCTTGTGGGTGTAGCCGTTCTAGATCTAACTGGTTAGGTGTTCCATGTAGACTGTCTCTTAGGGGCAAAAGTATAAAACAGTGAGCACCTCTGAGTCACACATGCATTCCCCAGTTTGTTCAGCTGTCTGGTATCAGGGACGGGGCAAGTACTGTTTCCACAGCAGAGTCTGTGTGGGTCTGAGATTACCTATGTTACTCAAACAAGACAGGGTGTTCAATGGTTCCTTTCCTTTCTCTGTTAGTGTCAGCTGGCTTTCTGTTGGTTTTGAAAAGAACAATGTATTTTTATGGTACATATAACCCACAATGAATTAATCAATGCATAATGTAGATTCCACAGTAAAAGATAAACCCTCCTAGCTTATGTTGAGGCTGTGTAACTAAATAAAAAATGGTAAATAAATCTCCGAAAAGCTTTTCATTCTGTGAAAGACAGAAATCATACCCTTAAACCAGCCAATTAAATTGCAGTGTGTTTAAAGATTTGAGTAAATTCTCGTTTGAACCTTTCTATATATTCTTATTGTGTTTAAAACAGAGGGTTCGTTTAATTAAAGTATCTTAATTATTTTCTCAAAAAGTGTTATGTACAAATCCTGGTTTTTGAAATAAAAGTGTTAACCATTCATTTTGTGCATCACTCATTCTGTGCCAGATATTCTCCTCATGCATAATATTTGTAAGAACATTCTCAGTGGCTTTCCACTAGCAAACATGAGCAAGGCACACGGCCTGTGTCAGGAGACAGAACACTACTCGGGGATTGAATTACTTATCTCTAAAAAACAAACTGTTGAACTTTGTAATGCTTTTTGCCTTACTTTGTATCTGTGATTATATAATATCTTCACAGATTCAAGAAAAGTCAACAAGCTGAGTGAGGGACAGTTAAGAATACAATTGAATTACAAGATGAAATTAATTTATAAATGTATTCTAGCATACGCTTCAGCTATAACTTGTGTGTTGACTGAGGAAAATATTTTCAAATGGTCTGAAAATATTATAAAATGTTTCTCAAGGTCTCATTCCCCTTCCTAAATATGTATATCTGCTAGAAGAGTTATGTCTAAGGTAAATGATGGACTTACTAAGACATTCCAAATCACCTCAAGAGAAGGTTAATCAACAAATGGCATTTTTGAAGATCTAGAATTTTACAAAAAAATAAATATACTTAAGATGAGTTAGAGTAAGAGAACATGAGCACACGAGATACAAATCAAGAAATCAAGTCCTGTGTACATCATTGCCTTGCTTCATCAACTGTTAGCTGATAGATGGAGCATGTGGGAGACGCTTTTAGTTTGCAGGTGTCGTGGAAAGGCAAGGCAGAGAAGGCGTAAGGGGGAGAGAGGCAAGCAATCAAGTAAAACTGGGAAAGGAAAACAATAAGCCTCCACATTGTAATGTGACACTCCTCCCCATTTCCAGAAAGGCGTGTTGTGATAATATTCATACATTTTGTATAACTTCTTTAACAATGTAAGTTCCAGAATATTTCACAAAAGTTCCAGAACTTATATTAGTTGTAATATAAGTTTCTCCTAAGTGTACAAAAGTTAAGAAGCAAAAATACATAGAAAATGAAAATAAGTACCATTAATTTAATAAGTGCCCAATGATAAGTAGTAGTTGAGTCACTTGTCCAAAAGACATTCTTTCATTGTAAAGATTTATTGCTTGCTTAATTGGTCCTAGAAAAAAAAATACCCTGATTAGAACTACATTGGTTCTGTTAATAATAGCCCATAGATTGTTAGGCTCTATAAGCCTGCCACTTCCTAGATGCTACAAATCAAAGATACTGGTTGACTCAGTTCTCCAACCCCTACCCATCCTGTTACAAGTACTCCACACCATACCTCTGAGAGACATCCATCAAGACCTGGCCAGGGCTGGGGAGAACTCTGGGAAGTAGAGCTACGTTCCTGGCTCTTGCACAGTTGAAACCTCCCTCCTTGCCCTGGGAAGACACCAGCACAGGGGTCCTCTTACCTCAGCTAGTGGCCAGTGCTTCTTCTGAGCTGGCTTCTCAAAGGCTGTGGTGGGAGCCACAGGATCTATGGGCCTTGTGGACTTTAAGCTGAGTAGCAAGGACAAGAAAAAAGAAAAAAAAGGGTATGTGAGAAAAATAGGAGGTCACTGTAGCATATGAGGCCACAGGCCATGAACAGAAATCTGCAGAAGATAAATAAGCCAGTGAGGTGATTTGGAATCACGGCTTGCCCGTCCACTATTCACTGCATTGACGTAGTCCAACACAGGCAGATGAGTTGGATATTAACAATGCAATTTTTTGCATTAAAGCTAATGCTGATGCTTATGTGGTGCTTGTTAAAACTCTAGCATAATTTTCCATGTACATGAACTCATTTCAAAATTTCCACAATTAGCAATACCAGCCCCATCTCTACCTTAGAAACAGAGGCATAGACACATTGTTTGAAATGTCTGAGATAGTCAGAAATGAGCCCAGAGATGTAATAATGTATTCACTTCTTAAACACCATGCCTCTCACCTAACGTGAAGGATCAGGCTCCATTTTATCTAGTTAAATATAATACAAACATAAATTACAGTCATGACTTCACTTTTAATAATTCATTAAATAAATATACCATCAGGTTTGCCAGTAAACACTTCTAATCTCAGAACGTGGGAGACAGAGGTAGGCAGATCTTCGTAAGTTTAAGACCAGCCTGGTCTACATGAAGAGTTGCAGCCCAGCCACGACTACATATTAAGACACTGTCTCAACACAGATAAATAAACAACTCAGGAATTACTATGTAAAATGAAAAGAAAAGAAATATTTAGGATCATGAGTGTTTTCATTTATGCCAACTTTTATTTTCAAAATAAAATTAAATAACAAAGAGTTGGAGGAGTTTGCTCTCATCCCTGACAGCAAATGTCCCTCTGAATCACATGAAATGAATGGTCAGCTCGTGCCTTCTGAAGTTCAGCACATGGGGACAACTGGAAAAATTCCAAGCACAAAATGTACATAATGTTGAGAGAGAGAGAGAGAGACACTAAAACTGAGACCCGTGATCTACCACAGTGGTTCTCAGTCTTCCTAGTGCTGCAACTCCTTCATACAGTTCCTCATGCTGTGCTGACAACCAAGCATTTGATTAACTTCATTGCTACTTCCAACTGTCATTTCGCTAGTCTTATGAATCATAATGTAAATATCTCATATGCAGGATATCTGATATGTGACCCCTGGGAAATGGTCACTCGGCCTCCACAGGGGACACGGTTCACAGGTTGAGAACTGCTCATCTACAGAGTCCATTTTAACACATTTTTTTTAAATTTATTATGTGTTTCTCAGGTGCACATGTGAACTTGTGAGTGGACGTGTGAAGATCAGAAGGCAACTCTGTGGAGTCAGTTCTCTTCTCTCTCATTTCTGTTAGGCCATCAGGCTAGTGCAGCAAGCACCATTACTGGCTAAGTCATCTCAGAGGCCCCTGGTTACATTTTTAATAGACTATTGAACATTTCAGATTCCAGGCGTGCGACATTATCTCCACCAGTTTAATAACATTCTTAGCAAAATGCCTTCTTCTTTCTTACATTTTAGTTACATTTTATTGATAAATGGTATCCATATATGTTACTTTAATATACCTAAACACCACCCTGAATTCTCTAATTTGTATTTCTAGTCTCACTCATATATCTGCTACCTATTTCTACATCTTTAACTGAATACATCTTTAACTGATATAATAAACAAGATCTCAAGGGCAGGCTGTTTGACCCCCCCCCCCAGGGGAGGAGCAGTCTGTTAGGCTACAGAGGAGGACTTTGCAGCCAGCCCTGAAGGTACCTGATAAAACAGGGTCAAATGAAAGGGGAGGAGGTCCTCCCCTATCAGTAGACTTGGAAAGGGGCAGGGAGGAGACCAGGGAGGGAGTGAGGGGTTGGGGAGGGAATGAGGGAGCGGGATACAGCTGGGACACAGAGTTAACAAAATGTAACTAAAAAGAAAAATAAAATTAAAAAAAAAAGAAAGAAAGAATATCTAAACTTAAAAGGCAAAATAAAAAAATAAAAATAAGTAAACAGAAAATTCCAAATATTTACCTAAAACTACCATAATTTACATGTTTTAACTACCTGTGAATTTCACTGATACACATTTTGTGATTCAAAAAGGGTTAGATGAATGAGTTATCTTTGGAATCTGAGATTTAACTAATATTTAAGATAGTTATTCCTACCCAAAATTTGACGAAAAAGTAACACAAATATGTACACATATTTCAGATAGACAATGTAGAAAAAAATTATGGGATGCTTCAAGTGACACCTAAATAATTACCTTCACCTACTGTGGACAATTCTTTGAAGAAAGCAATGACCCATCCCACCAGATCTTTTTTCAAAGCTAGGAAATCAAGTGTTTACTGCCTTGCAACCGGGATGGATTGTGGAATTCACTTGCATGGTCTATAACTCATCTATTCTCTCATGACTGCTGTGTATCTCTGCTTGTTTTCCAGCCTATGAAAGGATAGCCTATTCCAGATACCTAATTAATCATCAAGACTTCTCTATTTCATTTACTTCACATGTCTTCTACTGTCCCACCAGTGCTGTTAGTTAACTCTTGTCATCTTTGTTGATGCTTTGTTTCATTGATTGGGACAAAGTTTTACTTAAATAGATCAGGCTGCTTTCCAACTCACAATCCTCTTGCCCCATCTTCTCGAGTGCCAGAATTCCAGGATGAGCTCTGTTCTTTGTCTTTCCTTTGAATTAAAAACAAAACAAAGAAAATTCTGAAATGCCCTTGGTGATTTTCTTCTTTCACTTGACTTTATCATAGTACAAGAAATTGTTGTGTGCACATGTGTGCGTAAGAGAGGTCTGTGCATGCATGTGGGTGTGATGGACAGCTGGGGGAGCACATTCACCATATTCCCTTGAGCAGAATCTAAAGTCTTAGGTTGGTTTATTGCTTCAGTTGTGTTGGCCCTGTCTGTCTATACTGGGGTTACGGAGATGCAGCACCACACATTAAACATAAATACGAACATGCCGTGTGCTGTAGAATTAGTAGTATTCAATACTGGCTCCTATAATCATTGAGGCAGCAGTGATTCCTTAACCCACTGTTATATAAATAAAAAACAGAAAACCTATTAGATTTTTGATAAGTTTTAATGCACTGGGGCTGGGCAGATATCAACCTTCCAAGCTATTTAGCTATCTCTCACCTACACTACCTTTCTGGGCTAGATCTGCCCCATCATGCCAATTCTCAGAGCAGGCTCAACCCTGCCACATGCTTGTACTAACCCATGCCTGTTCAAATACTTTTTTAAAAACTCTTTTGTTTACATTTTTATATCTCTTTCTCCCTACTCCATCCCCATCACTTCCAACACTCTAATACCAGGTAGGAGAGAGAAAGGGTTAGTGGAAGAGGGGACACAGTTCTCTTAGCTGCTTCCTTCTGCTTAGGGTCCTCAGGTTCTTGGACCCAGCTCAATCCTCATTTCAGGAGATCTCCAACTTCTTGTCTCACTGTATCAGCAGCAACCAGGAGCTGTAGGGGGAAGCAGCAGCAGCCTTGTTCTTTCCCCTGAGCTTTATAAGGTGTGG